CAGAAGTTTTGTTGCTGGTCCACTGTGGGATTATAAGGTTGAATGCCATGTTGGATAGATTGGATGATGTAGAGTACTCTGTGGGGAGGATGCTGAAACAAGGAGTGTCATTTAAACATCATGATGTTGTTGAAAAGGTAATCTGCTCGTACTTCAGGTGCTCGGCTCATGATAGGCTGGAGCTGTTTTTGGAACGTCTGAAGGGTTCTTATGAACTTACAAAATCAACTTATGATCTGTTGATTGCTGGCTATCGAAGAGCCGGGTTATCTGACAGGTTGAATGATATGAAATGTGCTGGGTTTTCGTAGCATCTGTTACAGCGGTCCATTTGATGATGAGAGGAAATGTAAGCAAATCCTCTATTCTGTTCCTGTCAACCAAAAGGGTTCCTATTGGCATACAGGAAAATTAACCACCATAGAGGAAGGTCATCAGTCATGATCAAATCAACCACCAGATGATAATTTGTGAAAACCCTTTCAAGTTGGATTTTGCAGTTTGAAACGAAGGATGGGAGTTCAATCAAAAGCTTCATATTTCAATCCAAGAAAAACAAGATTGTCAGTCCTTGAACCAAATACTCCAAGAAGACCCTACCCTCCACCTCCAAAAAAAAAAAAAGGTACTCCAAGAAGAAGACAGGATCCTACTACTCTTGAGACTTGTATTGTGGGCACCAAGCATTGCTGTCGTCTACCCAAATTTTACATCTTTCTCTGTATCTTTTTACTTTTTAATTGGAGCATCTCCTAGTAGAACACTGCCAACAAGAAAAATCAATCGACTTGTATGTGTCAATGTGATGTTTGCGGTCCCCTCCCCTAATTTGGACAATTTTGTTCAATCCGTCTTGTGACCTTGAGAAGTTGAAAAGAGAACAAAAAGAGAAACTCAGAATGGGTGAGTGATGGGGGAGTTCTGGAGCCTCATAACTTTTATGATTGCTTTTGCTTCAGGAGCATCCATGGTGAAGAACTTCCATCTTCTCCAGGCAACGGGGATACCACGGTGGCGGTATTTCAAGCCAATTAGGTATTGTTACGTAGAAAAGTTGCAATGTGTGATTGACTTGGAATATGGTGGTATCCCTTACGTATGTTTTTTGAGCATCCATAGACCCAAATATCTGCTCTTGGCACCCATATCAGACGATGAAACCTTTGTAGTGGCCTATAGGCCTAGTGAGACAGTGGAAGGTGAACTGGATTTCCACTTCCAACGACAGCAACAACTAGTTACTGTCTTACTGATCACATGATCACATGTCACTGCCCCATTCAACATTAGATAAATAAAATAAGCAAAGGTTAGTTAGAAAAGAAGTTTAGAAAATTATAAAATGTCGTTCACGGGCTCTGCTCAATTATGTCCTGTCTATCTAATATTATAATTTATATCTACCGCCGAATTTTGTTGCTAAATATTCTCTCTGAGACCCCCTGTTAAGTATCTCAACCAAAATCTTACCTCACAACCAACAATGTCTTCACCACCACCATGGTCACTGCCTCCAGCTGCTTCTCCAGTAACCACCCCACCATTGCCACTGCCATTGCAACCGTCGTTGCCGCTCCCATTGTCACCGTCATTGCCGCCCCCATTGCCTCCGTTGTTGCCACCACCATTGCCACAGATAACACCATTCCCATCCCCACCTTTTTTACCCACTACTCCTCCTGCCCTGCCACCTATACCCAACTCTGCCCCTCCTCCTGTGTCCTCACCGCTACTGCCTCCTCTAACATCTCCACCGCCTCAGCTTCCACCATTGCCAGCTCTGTTGCCACCAACAACTTTCACTCCACCACCACCACCACCTTCAGTTGTCACCTCTCCACCTCCACCTTCTTCGCCACCAAAAACTCCATTGCCATCCAAACCTTCTCTACCGCCACCTCCAAACCCGCCATCACCATTACCAACACCAACACCAACACCACTACATGTTTCCCCTCCAACAACCCCATCAACCCCTCCCCCACCACCTACATTGGCAACAACTATGCCACCAGCAACTCAGACACCGCCTTTAGCGAGTCCAAGCCACGGCTCTCCCCCACCTGCATTGCCCCCTAGTACTCTGCAGCTGCCGCCCACATTGGCCAGCACCCTGCAGCCACCCTCATCTAACAAAACTAATACTACAAACCCACCTCCAAAAACATTGCCAATGCCACCCCAATTAATGCTTCATCCACCATTATCTTCCTCACTGCCAGCCACCTTGCAAGTTCACAACCCAAGACCAAATATGAGCACAGCTCTCATAGCTGGATCATGTGTCATTGGTGGACTTGTTGCCATTGTGCTTCTGCTTGCCATTATATTTCTTGGTTACAAACGTAGGAGGAGTAAAAACAACAGTGCCCTTTTGGAGGATCATCATAAAACACCATCCTTTTGCCCAAAAGGTGATCACAAGATTCATTGCTACATATTTTCATGTCCAATTTAGAAAATCAATCGTCTTTATAGGTTTGTATGTAATTAATTAAATTTTCTAATGTACTCTGTGGCTTTGGTTGCATTGGCAGATGATTGTTATGCTGTTCCTTCACCAGGGGTCCATGTTATCAGGGTGCTATCCAGAACCTCTGTTCCGCAATCTCCCATGAGCCGCACTGCTAGTTCTGCTTCAATCATATCCCGGTCTGAGATCCCATATCCACCTCAAACTCAAAGGCCAGCTGGTTTTCCCTCATATGTCTCAAATGGGATTTTCACATATGATCAATTGGTGGTGGCCACCAATGGCTTTTCAGAAGCCAACCTTCTTGGGCAAGGCGGTTTCGGGTATGTCCACAAGGGTGTGCTTCCAAGTGGCAAAGAAGTTGCAGTGAAGCAGTTGATGACTGGAAGCCGGCAAGGGGAGCGAGAATTTCAAGCTGAGGTTGACATCATTAGCCGGGTTCATCACAAGCATCTAGTTTCCTTGGTTGGGTACTGCATTACCGGGGCGGAGAGGTTGCTTGTGTATGAGTTTGTTCCAAACAACACCTTGGAATTCCACTTACATGGGAATCAAGTCCATGCTGGTAGTTTTCAAGAATTAATTACTAGCCCTATTGTGAGTGATTGGTTTAAGACTAGATATGGAGTATGATTGATAATTGCTGCATTGCAGGAGAAGGGCAGTCTGTTCTGGAGTGGGAAACCAGATTGATAATTGCTACTGGGTCTGCAAAAGGACTAGCATATCTTCATGAAGATTGTGAGTTCCTTTCACATATCTCTTCAAGTTTTAATTTTGCGCATCTTTTTCTTGAGAATGTTGACATTACAGTTTAATGGTAATTGAACATCATTTGCGGCTGCAGGCAATCCGAAAATCATTCATCGTGATATCAAGGCATCTAATATTCTTCTGGATGATAAGTTTGAAGCAAAGGTAGGACCAAACATTAACCGTACTTATTATGTTCAGGTTCATGTTGAGGTTTCTGAAGTTGAGATTTATGTTCAGGTTTCTGACTTTGGACTGGCCAAATCTTTCTCTGATACCAACATTCACATGACTAACTTTTCCACTCGAGTTGTGGGAACATTTGGGTAAGAACATGATATTCTTGTTACTACAACTCCAATTTCATACCACGTACTCACTTTTGCTTTGCTTGTTAGTCTGTGCTTGGCAATAAACTTAGCCTTGTTGAATGAAACAAACTTAATCAATTGTTCTGTACATGAACATATACAGGTACCTGGCTCCAGAGTATGCATCGAGCGGTAAGGTGACAGACAAATCAGATGTGTATTCATACGGTGTTGTACTTCTAGAACTTATAACTGGACGACCGCCTATCAGTACAATCGAATCCATGAGGAATGAGGGCCTGGTTCAGTGGGTGAGTTCTCTTGCATCACTGCTTCATTTTGTGCCATTTTCCTGACCTTATTTTTCAATAATCAGTAGGTATAAACTGTACAATGGGATACGATCTTAAAGTCATCTTTCTTAAGAATGAGATATGTGCTGCTAAACCAACATGTACATAACATAGTTCAAATTCAGCATTTCTGCAAGGAGCCTGACCCTAGTTTCTGCTTTGAACTCCTCAGATTGTATGATTTGAGTGAGTAGATGACTGAGTTTTCTTTTTCTTCTCTTTTTTTGGCATTCTAGGCCAGGCCATTGCTCACTCAAGCCCTGGAAGATGGTGACTTTGATGCTCTTGTTGACCCAAGATTGGAGAGAAATTACAACAACAATGAGATGGCTAGAATGGTTGCTTGTGCCGCTGCTTGTGTACGGCATTCAGCATGGCTTCGACCACGAATGAGCCAGGTAATTCCTAGTTATATTTTTTGTTAACTGAATGAAAAACAAACCCCGAACTCCCGAAACACAATCAATGATTTAGCTACCTGCTCAATGAGATAACACAGCACCAACGATTTAGCTAATTAACTGAAAATCTTTACGCTTATTCCAAACCGAGCAGGTAGTCCACGCTTTAGAAGGAGTTGCTTCATTGACGGATCTTCGTGAAGGAATGACACCAGGAAACAGCACATTACATAATAGCTTGGGGAATTCATATTACAGTTCCCAGCAATACAAGGAAGAGTATGGCATCAGTATGTACAGTGGAACTACCAGTGAGTATGGTCTTAACCCTTCTGGCTCCAGCAGCGAGGCCAAGCAAACATTCTGAAGTTGAGACACCAAATCTTGTTTTTGGGGAATGATTTTTTATTTGATTTTGTGTTATATATATTCCATTTTTTAATTGCCTTTTTCGGTAAATAATTTAATAGTAGCCTCTTTTTTACCGGGTTTGATACAGTGGCTTTGCTTGTTCATATCTGTTAACTGTTGAGAGTTGAGAATTTTTCACCAAAAAGGACCTCGTGTAGAGAACTGTGTATTAAGAAGAGGTACTTTTGCCATTAGCAAGGAACAGATTGAATCTCATTTCCGACTTTATGGAACATGCTAACAATCAAATCTCATAAGGATCACAGATCAAATCTCATTTCCAATAAAAATCACAGAATGAATATGGGCAAAGATCAGAGATCAAATCTCATTTCCGATAAAAATTCCTTTCCAGTATTTACCAACAAGAGAATATTTACAGAGGGTAAGACGGTAAAACATAAGTGATGCAAGACCGGCAAGATCTTACAATTTGTAGCGGAAATTGATAGAATCATTATTGAAACATGGATTGAGGATACAAATCCATGAAAACTTGTATTGTACGTGAAAACTGGATAAGATGAGAGCAAATCCATCACTTCCAAAATCCCAACTTTAAAAAACTAAGTTGGTACCTCAGTTTTCTCACTCAACTGTTTTACTTTCTTCGACGTATGATCCACTATAATCAGCAAGGCCTGGAAAACTGTAGTTAATGGGAAATCACCCACCTTCATCTTTTTGTTTGTTAAAATGTACTAAAGATTTCAACCATTGCTTCCATGGAGCATCTTCTTGTTGCTCGAGCCAAGACAAAAAACTGCTATCTAACAAGCAGAAGAAGTTGACATAGAGGAGCTGATACCTCACAGGTATAAACCGGAAATTCACTACTTGCACAATCGGCCATATCCCTCCTTCCAGAACAAAGGCTGGAAGAAAATCCCTTTTCACATCTTCCTTGATTCGAGGAACGCTCTTTCCAGCAGAAAACCCCATGTAGGTGAAAAACACAAGTAAATCCAATGGCCCAAAAAGGAACCCATCAATTGCCACTTTAGAAGCAACAAAACGAAAGGAATTTGGTTGCAGAAGAAGTCTTGACCTTATATATCGGTCCAAACCCTCATACCTGCAAAAGGATAATGAAAACCAAACTCATAAACTGGGGAATGCAAATCAGTCCATCTGTCTCTGTCAAACTAAAGGGAAGAGGAGCCTCAAATGCCCATGATTAGTGGTTCCTTTATATTGTAAAATTCTAGATCACCCTTTGATGTGGGAACCAGATCAATAACCCTCAAAAATCACATGTCCGCATACTCAGAATGTACGATTTTTCACCCCCAAAAAAAATGCTTACCAGAGGTGACCAACAGGCCCAACAAACCCAAATCCAAACAAGCTGGTTGTACACACTCTTCTCCAATTGATCTTTAACTCTTCATCTTCATCTTCACCCTGAAGATGAAGATAGATATATTATTCTATAACCATATTAAGGTAATTAACAATGTGTGCTGGAAATGTCTTGCGAAAACAGGTCTCATCATGTAGTATAAAACTATATATTCAGAAATTCCAAAATAATTATGTCAATATTTGTCTCTTATATAGACAAATATTGAGAAGAAAATATAGCCCAAAATTGGGGAACTCTATGCACTAGGTGAGTTAGGCTTAATAACAACAGAAGGGAGCCCCAGAAAATGCAGAGCATCAAACATGACTTCATTTTAGAAAGTGTTTGGTGCATATGACTGAAGGATCCTTTAAGAACATCACCATGTTACCCCAATGTCATGTAAACTAAGAAAAATAAAGAAAAAGAATTGGTAGTTTAACATCCCCTCAAAATATATGATGCTCAAAATCATGAGATATATGAAAATGCAGCTACAGAACATTTTCCCTAAACATGAGGAACCAGTTCAGCTTGGTTCCCCATCAAGCCATTCATTAAGCAACAAAGTGTGCAGCTTTAAAGATCAATAAATTCTTTCAAATTCATGCTGCAAAGGCATAAACACAACACATAATCACAAGAAACCAGTTCCATAAACACAAGAACAAGGGTCAAAAGATGAAATGCAGGAGAAAATAGTCAAGACCCATTTGGGCAAACAGTGGATAAGAGCAAGAAATGCATAAATGTTGACAGAAAATTGAGAACAGAAACAATTCCGGAAATGGGTATTTTTACCTGAGTTTGAATTTGACGTTGGGACTTGGCCGTGGAGTGAGTGATGGTCTGGGCAGCTATATCACCAAACCCCCAAATCAAACCAGAGCTGATGACCTGCGTCTTAATTGGATGAACAGCTAAGGAATTCTGGTACCATTTCCACAACCTAAACATTTCCCACCAGAGAATTATTAAAATATTAATGGATTCTGAGTGTTTATGTGCCCCTTTTGGCAAGGTTGAATATACAGATGAATCTCTAATCTGAAAGTTTTCAACTTTTAATCAGAGTGGGTTTTTTTTTTTTTTTTTCCTGATTAATGATAAGTGGAAATGACGAAGAAAGAAGAATCATAGTTTCTGTCTAATATTTTGTAATTTCCGGAAATTCATCTTTGCGGCAGAAAGTCATTTTCCTAGAAATCTGAAGAGAAACGAAAATTTTGCCATTAGGGGTAAAAACGTCCTTTCTCACTAACCCGAGTGCGCAGAGCCGTAAGTAGGCTTAAGAGCTAGGACCCATGCGTGGTGATCCAGCCCATAACCCGCTGCAAATTGGAGGAATTCTATAGTGAAGGGTGCCCATGCAGACCTTAATATTAGTTATATGATTATTTCATTAAATTTATGTGAATTTATTATTTAGATAAATCGTGTGGTTAATACGAAGATCCATGTCTATTGTTCATATATGGTATCGTCATCAATGACTCCTACAAATAGATTAAATGGGCTCGATCACAGGTCTAAGCCAGCCCAAACTTTTGCCCCAACATGATCTTATTATCAAATCAGAGTCGGTCTCTAGTGAGAGTAAGATTATATTTTGAGAGTCATTACTCTTTTGAAGTGTCAATAACCGTTTTTTTGTTTTTTATCTTTATAAATGGAATCTAGAACATCTATTACTATTAACGACCCAAATGTATTATATCATGTATATTTATTGATATTTATACACTAAAATATAAATTTATTGTATAACCATACCATAACACACATTAATAACACCACGTGTACAACGATCACCCAGGAGAAATTTCTCAAATGATTGTACAGAATGTCACAATACCCATACGAGTCATAGCTATCCAACCATTCACAACCTGGCAAATTTGCCTTGGTGCAAATATCCCACTGGTTGGTTTGTCAATTATATTTGTCACAAAAGAAATATCACTAAAAGCACTTATTTACAGCAGAAAAAGAATTAAATAGAAATGCATTAAATTTGAAAATATGCTTTCATTTCATGATTTTTTTTTCCGAAGAAATGTATTTTCATGATGGTGGAACTTAAAAAGAAAAGCATATGACCAAAATAAATAAATAAATAAATAAAGGAAAACCAAGAACCAATTTCCTGAAACAAATTCAGAGCCTCACTTTTCCTCCTTATCCCATCACCTTGTCTCTCACCCATTCTGAGATCAGATTATATGTTCCCTTTGGTGGGTCTCCATGCCTCATTAGTCTACAAGCATATTCAGTGTCTCTCTTTGTCTCTCTCTCTCACGGACTGCAAATGTCTGCAATCTAACGCCAAAAGGTACAAGCTTGTTTCTAGCTCCTAAATGTTGTTTCTTGGGTTTCTAGCTTACCAATAGCTTGAATGTCTGCAAAGATTACAACTTTTTCACAGAATTGGTTGGTAGTAACCAATATATTTGTTGGGTTGCTTTTGATATTTGTAAACATTGCGATTGAACTTTTTCGTCGATGTTCAAGTTGCTTGAGCACGAAGAACCGAACTTGATTTTCTGGTGTATCATTGTGTTCTCCATAGGGACCCAAAAAAGTTTGAAAATGAGAAAAGATTCATCAACTGGTTTTGCTGTGTATTCAGTGCGAAGTTAGAGACCCACTCAAACTCGGTGACAAGTTGACAGAGCCATACCCATATGGGAGAATCAGGCAAAGAGAAGGCTTTTTTAAGAACAACTAACAAAAATGAAGAAGCAACTGCCACTACTGCAAATGGACGGGTTCAAGCATTACCCATCAAGGTATTGTGTCATTAGCTCAATGATTTGATTGTGTGCTGCATTAATTGTACCGCTTCTGCTTCTGGTGTGTACTTTGACAAGCCTGAGAATTTCCTTGCTTTATTTGTTTCAGTGAACTTTAAAGGTGGTTTTTTTTGGTAAAAAAATTTTATGTTCTTTTTGGTATTTTATTTTTAACCCCACAGGGAAATCATCCAGATGATAAGAACCAATTGCGTCTAATTTCAAAGCCTAATGGCTCAATGAGGCAATCCCATTGTTCTATCTGCATGGCCAAAGAGAATTGTCGAATTGTGCGTTCGAGAACTAGGCTAATGAACATTTTGATAGAGAGAGGGAGACCTCAAGAAGCCCAGTCCCTTTTTAATGGTTTAATTGAAGGAGGACACAGGCCTTCACTGGTATCATACACAACCCTCCTAGCTGCCTTGACCATCCAGAAGCGCTTTGAGTCCATTCCTTATGTTATATCACAGGTGGAAGAGAATGGAATGAATCCTGATTTAATATTTTTCAATGCTGTTATAAATGCTTTTTCGGAATCTGGGAATGTAGAGAAAGCCATGGAAACCTTAAGGAAGATGAAGGAGAGTGGATTAAAACCCACTACCAGCACTTATAACACATTGATCAAAGGGTATGGGATTTCTGGTAAGCCTGAAGATTCTTTGCAACTGCTTGAGATGATGTCCCAAGAGGAAAATGTAAAACCAAATACAAGGACTTTTAATGTTCTAGTCAGAGCATGGTGTAAGAAGAAAAACATTACAGAGGCATGGAATGTGGTGCATAAGATGGTAACTTCTGGAATGCGACCTGATGCCGTTACCTACAACACATTAGCAACAGCATATGCTCAAAATGGAGAAACAAGTAAGGCAGAAGGAATGATTCTAGAGATGCAGAACAACAAAGTGCAACCCAATGAACGAACTTGTGGCATTATCATAAGTGGGTATTGTAAGGAAGGTAAACTGAAGGAGGCCTTAAGGTTTATGAAAAGGATAAAAGATCTTGGGCTGCATCCAAACATCGTTGTCTTTAACTCACTGGTTAAAGGTTTTGTTGATACCATGGATAGAGATGGGGTCGATCAGGTGAGTTGTCTTGCTGTTTCTTCTTGTAATGGCCCAAAATGGTGTTTTGTTTTAATTGTTGCCACAAATCATTACAATAATTTCATATATTAACTTGCAGGTGCTGAAGTTGATGGAAGAATTTGGGGTCAAACCAGATGTGATAACATTTAGCACCATCATGAATGCATGGAGCACAGCCGGATTCATGGAGAAGTGTAGGCAAATCTTTGATGATATGGTGAAGGCTGGCATAAAACCTGACGCGCATGCATACAGCATTCTTGCCAAAGGTTATGTGCGTGCTCAAGAAGTGGAGAAAGCCGAAGAACTATTAGCAGCCATGATGAAATCGGGAGTTCGTCCAAATGTTGTGATTTTCACAACCATCATGAGTGGATGGTGCAGTTCTGGCAGAATGGAGCATGCAATTAAAGTTTTTGATAAGATGTGTGAACATGGAATTTCTCCCAATTTGAAGACATTTGAGACCCTAATATGGGGATTTGGAGAAACAAAGCTGCCATGGAAAGCTGAAGAAATACTCCAGATTATGAAAGAGTTTGGTGTTCAGCCAGAAAAATCTACTATCTCGCTTGTTGCTGATGCTTGGCGTGCGATTGGATTAACAAAGGAGGCAAATAGGATGCTGGGTGCTATGAGAAGTAAAGAGAAGACCCATCAGGTTGAAACTGAAGAGGTACCATTTGAGAGCTTAGAGAAAATTTATCATAAGAAATCTGCAAGTGCCTTTCATCCCAATCTGTTACAGATACCATCAGTAGTTACAAGTGATCAAAAAGGATCAGCAGCTTCAGCAACTAGAAAAGGAAGAATGGTGCTAAGAGATGGTGATTTTTCATTAGATGTCTCATCGCTTGCTGCAAAATCTATGCATCTGTCTCAGACGTGTAAATTTGGGGAAAGATTGCCAATTATATGCCGGAAGCAATCTCAAGGGCAGCTTGGTGTGTATGGTCAGTTTGCACAGCAATGTACAGTTGTGTTCTTGAACTGAAGGAACAATTCTCATTTAGATGTGACACAGAATCATATAATCCTCCCAGAAGCAATTTCAGCATATAAAATGTTGTAGATAGTGAAGGGAACCTTTGTTCTTTCATGAAGCATTTTTTGCTTGTTTTTGAGCATGCTGATTACTTGTTGTAAATCAAAATCAAATGATACTTTCCTACATTAATCATGAATATAGTTGTTGACATTCAAGGACATGAAGGGGTGCTGCTAGTTCCTATCTTATGCCACAAGCTCCCTTGTATTGTCCCAATCTTAAGGAAACTCATAAAAATTCATAACAAGATTTTCCAGTTTCAGTGTTGATAGAACTGGTTTTCCCTAATGCAATGCACAATTATCCCCTTATTCCCATTTATGGTATTTGTTTTAAATTTAGACCACTTTTGGGTCATAAGAATTTCCCCTTATTCGTTCACTCCGACTCTGGTCTAGGCCCCAGTTAGAGACGTCTGGTTCGAGTTGAGACGGAACATGATCCATTTAATTGGCAAAATCCAGGTCATAGTTCAGATTACCAGAAACCCAACTGGGCCAACTCTGCAAGGAGCATTTAGCTTAACTCGTTAAGAGCATTTACCCTTTGCACTCAAGGTCCTAGGTTCGATTACCTCCTCTCCCATTATCGCTTGTATAAAAAGAAAAACTCTATCATTTCTCATGAATCAATTAGTATCAAGATAATTTATACATGATCAACAACGAATAGAACATAACGATAATCAGGACACTAACTGCTGCAAGCCCTTCAACACCAAGCACATCAGTTTGGTTTCCATATCCAATTTTCATTAGGTTCTACTTGTTTGATTTGAAAATTTGATCCTTGTGCTGGGGGTTCAGAAGGAACCTTGCTGAGAATCCATACTAGAAAAACACCAACAAGAGCACCTGAGAGATGTGCAATGTGATTGACATTCATCAAAGAACTGCCTCCGCCGAAGGGGCCCGATAATGCAGTAGAAGCTTGAGCTGCTTCCATAACCTATTTGTGGGCACAAACAGCAACAGAAACAATTACACATATATCTAACACATTTTGAGATATATGTTAGATGATCTATGAAACAATGAAAAACAAAAATCAATAAACAACTAACAAAACTACTGATCTGACAATGAACCTACGAAAATTGGGAAATAAAAGTAGAAACATATTAGGCCAAAAGAATGCATAAGCTCTAATTCTTGCATGCTTTAATATGATACCGATTTGATGTTTCTGAAAAGCTTGGCTCACCTTCTCTATAACAAATTGGCCCAATATAAGCACTTCAAGGATCTTTCTCCAGTCCCAGGACATCTGTATTAAGCAAAAAGAGGGTGAACTGGTTAAGCATATAGACTGAGTCCTATGATCGCGAGGTACACGAGAATTCTAATATAGGAATTCACCTTTACTAGTACACTGATTGTAAATAACCCAAAAACAGCACCAGATGCTCCAACCGAGACTGCATTTCTTGGTAGAACAAGCCATGAAACAAGGTTTGCTCCAACCCCTGTAAGAATATAACAAAGCCACAGAGCAAAATTTCCTTCCTCTTCTTCAACTAGCTTTCCTGTTGAAGCCAAAAAATACCCTTTTAAAATTCAATAATGTATTTTCTATTTTTGGTACAAATTTTTCATGTACTTCCAGTATTAAGTTGACCCTATTGTTCGACCAAAAAAAAACGTTGATCCTATTGGAAAAAATAAAAAGAAAGAGACCCTCACCAAAAATATACAAGAAGAAAAGGTTGCTCGAAAGATGGTTCCTGAAAAATAACGCATGTGAATATGTTATCTTGCCAGAAAAACATTTACGTTGCCAAACTATGAATCCGAACCCCACATTTTGACAAGAAAAAACACGATCAATGGTCTACATTCGCAGTCTCGTAACATAAGCTGATTTATTACACCATCCTACATATGGTGCACCCTTTTTACATGTGGGTTGTACACATGCAACCTTCAAGAGCACAGAAGTCTCACCAATTAGCATGGCAAAATGTTGCTGTTAGAAACTGGTACCAAGTAGGCCAGTTGTGGTAGAGGTACAGCATTTTAAATGCACGAACCTAGCAAAAGCATAAACAAAATTGTAAACTTCAAACCCAATTTGATGTTGAAACCATTACAAATTACAATTTATAAACTTGCTAATATAAATTAATCAAAGATTAACACTACCTGAAACACATGATCAGCAATGTAAATCCCAAGATTAGCAAGTATGATCCAAAATATCCCATTGGCCCGTCTGGGCGGCTTCCCTCTCTCTTCTGGCTGTGATAAAATGTCTAAGTCTACCAATTAACAAACACACCATAAGTACAACAAGACCAGAAGTACAACAAGGTTGCTTGCACCGAAATTGAAAAACCCAAACTCCAACTGGTTGCAGCAGAAAGATGAAGTCAGAGGACTTACCTAAGCCGTTGGATTTGCATGCTATGGGGCTGGGAAAGCGAACGGTGGGGGGGAGAAGAGGGCGGAGCTTGTTGGGTTTGGTGCGTTTTAGGGGATTGGAGAGAGAAGAAGGAAAGCTGAGAGTGAGGGTGGGGAGAAGTAGTTGGTGGTTGGGGTGACGAGGTTTGGGGAGAGGTTGAAGATGCTGCAACTGTAACTGAAACAGTTGGGGCATTCTTTCCTTCTTCTTCTCCTCCCCCGTTGGGGGTGTTGGGGGAGTTTGAGGAGGATATTCAGGGGTTCCAGAGATAGACCGGGAAGAGAGATTTTCCCTTTGTATGTTTGCTCCTCCTTCCCGGTCCTAATTTTGGCCCCCTTTTTCTTTCTTTTCTTTTCTCTTCCTTCTTCTTTGAGTAAATTTCAATTTTGCCCTCTTTTTAAACATTTTCTTCTTCTTCTTTTCTTTTCCTTTTTGGATACAAATGATATTCACTTTAATTTTAGGGTTAATTACAATTTAGTACCCTGTACTTACACCATTAAGACATGTTAGTCCCCGTATTTTCAATTTTAACAATCGCATACCCCGAGCTTGTAAATTTTTTACAATCCGATTCCACCGTTAGGTTTCCGTTAGATTCCACCGTTAGTTGCCTACGTGGCACTATGGTCCCACTTTTTTT